CTCCCTGACGCTAGGGGGAGATTTCTGACGTGCTCATTGGCGCTTACTCTGACCCAAGCGGGAAAGGCCAGTTGGGTTTTGATGAGAGCTGGCCAAACGACATAGACTTGAAACACTTGACCGATATAGTGCGTTTCCTGACAGCTCTGAAACTCAGTGAGTGTTCCTTTCCCTTGGGATCTTAGCCACGGAGGTGGCAGTGGCCTGTCTCTGGAAAAGCTTCAGATGGAAAAGCGTTCAGTGAGAAAACACGCCAACCACTGGCAAGACATGCTTATACCCACGGGATGGTGGGCAGCTCTGTGAAACCCACTTGCCAAACCTCAAATGGCCCACCAGGCGACTTGGAGTGCCTGGGAGGGAGCAGTGTGGACTGTTGTTCTGGATTGTATTTTGGAAACATATATGGACACCAACCCCGGATCCAGCAATGCTGCATAATGTTTATCTGACGTCATCTGCTGAGAATGCATTGCTGGGAAAGCAGCGTGGACGTCTGCACACTGGCGCTGAAACTCACAGCAGCAGCGCGTCCACCTGCCCCTCGCGTCCCCCGCAGTCTGGGCAGGAGGGCGTGGCCTGTTCGCCCTGTGGGAAGGGCACCGAGCGTCGCCAATCCAGGCTCTTTGTCCGTGGCTTGCCGAGCTTGGTTGGAGATCCAGCTGCTGGCATTGTCTCTGTGCTCCGAGGCAGGGCCGTTCTATAGTAGGGGGGCTGAGCCCCGAGAATGGCATCAGGACCCACAGAGGCGGAGAGAAGTTCATCCCCAGTCTGGAGGGTTGTTTCTTGGAGCCGATGAAGAGGGGAGCTTGGAAAAGCTCCTCATTCCTTGGAGTCCCGGCCCTGGGAGGTGGGAGGACATTGGGTGACTGAAGGTGCCTGCAGCGTCCTGGGTTCTAGCAGTCTTTCTCCCAGTGTGCTGGCCTCGTACAGCAGTGACAGGCTGGGAGAACTGCTGAGGGGACTCTGTGGAAGCTGGATGTTTTCTTGGTGGAATCGTCTGGAGTGCAGGCTAGTTGGTGTGCCAGAACAGCTAAGTCTGGAGTGCGCCTAGTTTTCCGTTCTGTCCTGATCCTTGTTAATGAACGTGGAGTTGAAGGCTGCCCCGGGGGTTCCATATCCACTGGGAGACCAGAATTCTGAAAAACAGTCGAGTTGGCCTGTGATATTCTGATTTATAGTAGGTAAATATTTGGTTTTCATCCCCATTTCTGGCCCAGAGCTCCTAAAACCCCTGGAATTTTCTGTGATGGGAGCAACAAAGGTGTCTCTTGTTGGGTGAATGGGTTGCTTTTGGACTCCACCTAAGGATGGGGGGCTGGCTGCCAGGAGGACCAACCAGGTGATTAGAGGGTCTGAACTTTCCAGTCCCAGCTTCTCCCCACCGCCCAGCCTCCAGGGAGGAGAGTGGACCTGGAGGTCGGATTAGTGGTTTACTCAATCATGAGACCCTAAAGGACAGGGTTTGGAGAGCTCCGGGTTGGTGGACATGGAGGTCCGGGGAGAGGGGTGCACTGGAGAGGGCCTGGGGCTCTGCCCCGTTGCTGTGTGTTGCCCTGTGTATCCCTCCACCTGGCTGAGTCGTGCTCTGTAATGAACCGGGGATCTAGTAAGGAACATGCCTCCCTGAGTTCTGTGGGCTGCTCTAGCAAGTACATTTGACCTGAAGAGGGGTCGGGGGAAGCTGATTTGTGGCTGGTTTTTCAGCACAGGTAACACCTGACCCTATGGGACACTGGGCAGAACAGGTCTCCCTGACGATGAAAGCTGTCCCCGACTTCTCATGTGTCATCAGCGACGTTACATGCTGTCAGCATTTACCCAATTGGGGGGGGTGCCGCCAGAAACATAGCCAAACCCAGGCCACCGGGGGCATCCTGTCCTGTGGGGAATCCTGGAAAGTGCAAAAACTTGCCTGAGAACCAAAAAAGAAATACAAAAAACGAAATGAAAATAAAACCCTCAAAAGCCAACAAAACAAAAAATTAAATGTTCTTGAAATTTTTAAAGCCTATAACATTTGGCCTAGGAAAACTGATTTTAATTGGGGGAGGTCAGTGGCCATAAAAGAAAAATCAGAAACAATGACATACATGTTTATGTTTCATATCCAAACATCACTCCCCTGTGGGCGCCACCTGCCACGGCCAAGGTGGAGCTGCTGGTAGACTGTGTGCCGCCCAGGGGGCTGGCTTTGTGATGCCCGGGATATTCAGCCGCCAGACATGCCTGTTACCTGGGTCACAGTGTCAATGCTGTGTTTAAGGGGCTCCTTTCACATGGTCACCCCCTTTTTGTTGCAAAATGGAAGAACAGTTTGGGAAGCCTTAAGGAATTTGCTGTCTCAGCTTCCCCTCCTGGGTCTCACAGATGCTAATAAAAACAGTACATTAACAGGAGGATGGAGAGGCCCAGGGGAGAGTCAAGGGACTTGTCTCAACACAGTGGAAAATTTTAAAGGGCTGTTGAGAAATGAGACGGACAAAGCAAATGCTGAGAGGTGGAACAAAGCACGGAGGAGTGGGGAAGGGAAGTCGTGGGACTCGGAGCAGGATGGAAATGTTTGGGCGGTTGTTAAGAAGTGTGATGAATAAAACAGACATTGACAGGGTTAAAGCAAAGATTTTTATAGAGTGCTACCTAGGCTGGGCAGCCAAAGGGACCTGCTGGCCCCCAACATTAAAGGGCCCCAAACAAGTCCACTCTGTTTACCCCATTTTGGAGAAATTTAAAAGCCAGAAGGCAGAGACCACTGAGAAACCCAACCAGCAGCTGCTTGGGGCAAGTTAAGTCAATCAACTAAGGTGAAGCTTGTGCCTGACTGGCTGAAGGACGTTCTCACACCTGGTCTTGTAAAACAGGGCGTGTAGCTCTGCCCTTCAGGACATGCTAAGTGGGGACCAGTGAGGCTGGCTCAGTAGGAGCTGGGGTGCTGGCCCCGGGCGGAGCCTGGACTGGGGCTCACGGCAAGAGCTTGTGATCACCTGCCACGAGGGCTGCTGGGACCTTGGATGAGGGAGCTTCCACTCATGGGGTGTCTGCTGCCTTGCTCCCTGACCCAAGTTAACGCCGCCCCGACGGCTGAAGGCTGTGAAACGATCTTCAACGCCAAGAAGGCTACAGTGTCTGGGACGGTGTCAGAGAAACGCTCTAACGGACAGCGGTGCTCAGAGCTGTCCCATGCACAGATGGCAGTGGACGTGGTTTACGGCAGCCCATGCCGGCCAGGGACTACAGGCGGAGCCTCTTCGCCCGGGGCTGCCTGGATCTGCACGAGGTGATGCTGGGTTCTGCTGTCACTTGGGCAGGGCCCTGTAGACAGTTCATTAAACTGTCTCAAATCACTGATATTTAAAAACTCGATTTTTCTTTCACTCATTTTTAACCACCAAGTGAATTATCTTTAACATACTGTTACATACTTGTATTTTATACGAGTAATATATACATTTTATGTAAACGTTTTATATAAATAAGAGGACCTGTCTACACGTCATAAGCATTTATGTTTCGTATACTTTTAAGCATCTGGGCATCTCTAAGTGAAGCCACACCCGGTGGCATCCAGGGCCTCAGGGAGGCCACAGAGAAGGGCAGCCCACCGCCATCTGCACCCAGTTCAGCTTCCATCAGGAGACGGCAGAGCAGAGGCACAAAGCCCGACCCTCCACTTAAGAATGTGCTGGGAAAAAAAAAGAATGTGCTGGACTGCCTGTAACCAACCTCACGTCCTGGGCGAAGTGGTGGCTCGACAGTCATCTCTGCGCCCCGGAGGTCTGTCTCACCATGGGTGCTGGCGCAGCCCCCTCCTCTCGGCCTTGGCTGGCCCTCTGGACACAGGTTCTCTGCTATGTACCTCTGGTCTGGATTCCTGCTCTGGCCACCCCTGCTATGGAAAACTGTGCTCCACGCCTGCTTGGCGCCTAGGGCCAGCAGGAGGCGGTCTTCGCTGCCACCTGGGAGGCCCCTACTGCACCCCCAAAGCAGTCTGGGGACTCCGCTGAACAGACTGGGCATGGGGACAACCTGGTGGGCTGGCTGGGAGGGAAGCCGGTGGGAAGCAAGGCCTGCAGAAGGCTTGGCAGAAGGAGGGCTCGGGGCAGCCAGAGTCCAGGAGCCAGCAGTTCCGGGCCTGCCCAGCCCCTGCGGCAACAAGCCATTCAGGTGACCCTACGAACAAGGACACTGAGTCTGGGCGGGCCGCCCCTCTGGCAGCCAACCTTGGGAGGTGAGGTGGGGGCCTAGTGGGACCCCAGCATTCAGAAGGTCACCTGCCACCGGGGCAGAGTGTGGGGTGTGTGCGGGGTGGCAGGTCCTGCAGGGAGAGTGACAAGCCCCGCAACACGATGACAGTGAGAACTGTGGGCTCAGAGCCCAGGGAACACACGTTCTGGCGGCCAGCACTCCCGCCGGGCCAGGTATGGGGTGTCCCCGCCAGGGCTCTGACCACCGCTCCGGCCTCGCCTAGTAGTTCCACACTTTAAGGTCTTGCCCAGGCTCTGCTTGGCGCCCTGGAATTGGGGATGTCTGGCAGCCAGTCACCGTGCGTCCCCCAAAGTCTCCATGGATCAGCCTCAGGAGGGAGACCGCTGGCACCCACGGCTGCTTGGTGGCACGCGGGACCGCGGAGCAGGACGGGCGATTTGCACAGTGAGCCTGAGGCGGCGGCACTGGCCGTGGACAGCCAAGAGGCAGTCGGGAACCTTCCCAACCGGAGGCCTTCCACTTCAGCTGGGGAGGGAAGAGACTTGAGCCCGCGTCGCCCTGCAGCATGTGTAGGGCTTGCTTGGGCACCATTTACAACCTCTGCAGGAACAGAGCTCCCCCTGCAAAGGGGCCAGCTGGAAGCCATGAGGAGGATGAGGGCCAGGGCTGGGGGTCTGCACGGAGGGTGAGAGACAGCAGAGCCCCGAGTTCCTTCACAGCCCACCGAGCCAGCCTGCCAGCTGAGGTGGAGAGGCTGTTGTACACAACTCACAACCACACTCAGAAGCAGAGGGTATCTTACAGGATCACAGCACGTTGAACAATGGCTTGAAAAGGTACATCCAAGTCATAATCCCCAGAAGACTCAAAGGTGGAAAAAGGGTCTTTACGTGTGTAATTACAGATCCTGAGATGAGATCACTCTGGACTGCGAGTGGGCCCCAAATCCAATGACAGGCGTCCTCATAAGAAGAGAGATGACCATGTGAAGACAGAGGCAAAGATTCAAGTCCTGGCAAGCCACCAGCCAGACACCAAGCATCACCAGCAGCCACTGAAGCCAGAAGAGACAAGGAACGGATTCTCTCGCGGAGACCCCGACAGGAACCAAGCCTGCTGATACCTGCATTTCAGGCCAGCACTGTGACCCTAAGTTTATGTGGCTACAGCCACAGTTTGTGCTAATCCGTTACAGGGCCTAGGACACAAATGCATCGACAGCTGGGTGTTTTGCTGCAAGCGGCCTCGGCTGAGACAAAAGGACACAGTGGAATCCTGGGGAACTGTGGCCCGAGGGCCTGGCCACAAGCTGGCCGGCACCTTCCACCACGGCTTCCCCACCCTGGACTACCTGTGGGAACCCTGTGCCCTCCAGGCTCCTCTGGGTAATGAACATTTACTGTTTTCAGCTCAAAGCTTAGTTCTTGCTATAACACTTGATTCGTGTCCCTCCTGTTGTCTGCAGGGATCCCACTGTTGGTGTATCTGAAACTCAACAGGCTGGAACTTGTACCGCAGTAGACAGAGCAGATCCCCTAGGGAGAGGGGGACAGACCCCAGGATAGCAGGAGGACACAAGCCACTGGGCAGGCCTGTCCTCCTCTCTGAGCGCAGGAGCCAGAGGACAGAGTCAGCAGGCTCTGTGACCTGCGTGCACTCAGCACATCTCCTGGGGCTCACACTGGGCCATCCTGCCCTTATGGAAGCAACAGACCGCAGAAGCCAGGCAGTGCCGCCTCTGCCTTCTTGCCACAGAGCAGGCCAGCCAAGCTCCTCCGCCCTGCGGTCAACCGTTAGCTCTGTGGGTGTCCTGGAGCCAACGCAGCACTTCCAACAAGCCAGTGCCGTTCCGGGCGCTGATTTCCGCTGTGGTGATATTCTGCTTGGCACAAGCAACGAGGTCTGGGAGCCTGATCAACGACTTCATCTCCTCCGTGGTCATGTAACAGGGCAGGTCACTGGAGTGAGAGAAGCACCCCGTCAGGGTGGGCTGCCAGGAGCCCACCCCAACCCCCCACAAGCCACCCTCCCGGCTGCCCCACGGGAGCTCCGCCCTGGGGCACCCCACACCCCTCTCGGCTCACGGACACGCACATTTTATTGAAGAGTATCAGAACTGATGCTTCTGCAAGCTCTTCTGCTGAAAGGAGACCCAGGAGCAGCACGCAGGAGGCAGAGAGCTGCGTGGGGTTCGAGGCGTCCATCATGAACTGGGAAAGAGGAAGTGGAGATTAGGCTCCTGCAGCGGGCTCTCCTCTCCTGGAATCACAGGCCTGGCTGGGGACAGGCAGGAGCAGAGGGGAGCGAGCCCTGCAGGAGGATGGCGTTGCTTGCTTGTTTGCACCTCCACGGAAGTCTCTCTACTCGTGGGGCCGTTACTTCTCCAAGGAAGGTTACTTCTCCTGGAATCTTGGGCACAGGTCTTGACAGAACGGGACGAACCAGGGGAATATATAATTTAAACATAAAATGAAAAAACACAATCACCGCAGCAAGGCAGTGAGTGGACGTCACAGGTACCTACAGAGAATGAACACTGACCTCAACAAGCCGTCCTGGAGCTTTTATGTTGGCTTGGGAGCAGGATCAGGCTGCAGCCCCAGAGGGAAGCAGCTCTAGCCTGGGCCCTGTTTCCTTGACTAGCACAGTCACCCAGGAACCCAAACTCTACCCCAAAAATAGAGAAATTGGGGATTAAATGCTGGAATGGAGACATACTTCCCCAAAGGAAGTTCAAAAGAGGACGACTTACTAGAAGAGAGCGACAGTTTCCATAGTAACTGGGCCAGATGGGGCCCATGCAACCCCCCAGCTCCCGGATGGTGATCTTGCTCTGGGCCACGATGTCCGTAAGGTTGGTGCCCACCTGTGGAAGAAACCAGGCTGCAGAGAGGCCAACACAAGCGTTTTCCCGGGGAACTCCTGGATAGCAACGTGCCCAGCCTTTACACTGCGAGTTACCCCCATCTCGAGTGCGCAGGCCCTAGGGCAGAACCCGTGACAGAGGAGACCTAAAGATGCTCCCAGAAGTCCAGGACCCCACGACCGGGATTCGCCCTCTGCGGCCAGCAGCAAAAGCAGTCTGAACGGTGGTGAAAGGCGGGCGGCTCCGGATCCCCTGCGACTCTGTCCCGTCGAAGCCAAACTCCCTGCGGTGACATCCACCACCTCCCAAGGGCTGTGCTGAACACACCGACCGTCGGACTCCAGCTTCCACTTAAAAGAACCCAAAGCGCTTTCCTAACCGCACAGGGGGACTCACTTCTCCCAAAGTTGCAGAAGGGCGGGCACCTACCGTGGGCCGCGTCGGGGGAGGATCGCCCAGGTCGCCCTTCCCATCCCGGGAGCTCAGCTGTGCGAGGCGGTCAAGGACTCCGAGGCGGGCAGAGGAGGGAGCGCTGGCCCGACCCTGCCCCGGGCGCCCCCCGCCCCAGGTGGACCGTGGCCCTGACGCTTCCAGCCCCGGGCGGCCCCTGCCCCGCTCCCACCAGCGCCCCCGTACCCCCGGAGTCCCCCAGCCCCTATCCCGCCCGCCTGGCGCGGAAGGATAGTCTGCAGGCGTTTCACCAACAGCGTCTTGCCGACACCCGTGGCCCCGAGCAGGAGACACATCGCCGCTCCCCGCTTCACCTGACACCCGTATCTCGGCGGCGCGACGACGCAAGGCCCGCCCTCAGCCCCGCTCTCATTGGATAGGCCTCACCTCCTGCCTTCTCATTGGTTCATGGCTCTTATCAACTCAGCAGGCGCGGCCCAACGGGCGCCCAGCAGCACACGGACCCGCCCGGAGACGTACGCGGGCGCGCGCCCGAGGGGGAGGCGGAAGCGGAAGTCGGGGGCGCGCCGGCTCGCAGCAGGGACCGCCGCGGCGTCGGATCGGGGTTCGGGTCGCCATGGGGCGCGGCAGCGGCACCTTCGAGCGTCTCCTAGGTAACGCGGCCCCCGCCACCCTCCGTGGGAAAGCCTCCCGGCCCCCGCGCCCCGGGGCGGCC